CCGGCCGTGGCCCCTCAGCCTGGCCTGCACTGACCCGGTGTCCCCTGTGTGCCTTGGAACATGCTGCCAGCACTCCTGCTGTGGGCAGGGAAATCAGCCTGGAGGGGAATGCTGCCCAGTCACCTTCCCCCACAGCAGATGAGCCCTTGGAACACCATGGCTGCCTTGACAAACTCCCCCATGGGCACAAACCCGCACAAGTGCAGGGCTGGGCTGCTGGGCAGGATGGACAAGGACCTGGAGTTTTTATGAGGGCGTTACACATTGAGCTCAGGCACTCTCTGTCCCCCAGGTGACACCTCCTGCAGACACCTGAGTGTGTCAGGGTGGGTGCAGTCGGTGTCCCCACACCACAGGCAGTGCTCCTGGTGCACTCTGGCCCAGCTCACACCGGTGTCTGAAACCACCCTAAACCCAGTGCTTTCGGGGTGTTTTTGGTTTAACATTCCCAGCTGGTGCATTTGGTTGAAGTTTACGAGTCTGTGGTTAATTTTGCAGAGTCCTTAGCAATTTCACACTTGGCAAGGTTTGGGGTGGGTTTGGCAAGGTTTGGGGTGGCTGCCCCAAGCGCAGCAGGCTGGGGCAGTCAGAGGCAGTGGGACAGGGAGCAGAGGCAGCATTTAGCTCAGGTGAGGGGATGGGAGGGAGCATTCATGTCCCAGCTACGCTGCCTATGGATCCTGCTGGGTCACACAAGGAATTGGAGTGACTGGAGCAATGAAGGGTCGAGGTGAGCCCCTGGCCAGCTGAGCACTGCCTGGCAAAGCTCGGGATGCCCACRYGGTTCAGCACTGGGCTTCCTCTTAYCCAGAGTGATGTAACTCGTAGGATGTGTGTGCTTGTAGTAAAAGCTGAACACTAATTACTGTTATTATTTGAATGTGCTTTTAATTCAGTCAAAATTCAGACAGAATCAGAGTCTCTTCCTAAGTTCATGGTGTGAAAAAATTTCTGTCAGACAGTCTACAGTGTAAGTAATACTATTAAACGGTATCATTTTACTAAATTACATCATTTTACTATATAATTAATAGAAAGTGTTTRCAAACACTTTCTGGAAAATGATGCATTTCTGAGACCAAAGGCTGATGAAATCAGCAGCTAATTATCGTTGGCTGTGATGAACTCTGGTCAGCACACAGCACTGCTCTTTCCCCTCCAAGGATTTTTTTGGCAAAACAATATCAAGTCAAAAGTTGGAAACACAGTGAGGCAAATGCACAGACTTGAAGGAGATGGGCAGTGGYTGGAAGAGCAGAATTGCTTGCAGAGTATCCCAAAGAGCAGCACAGGAGCCTGTCTGTTCTTTGCTGAGGTGATGCATTACTTCTGTCTCCCTATGCCCTGCTCAATGTATTTGGTAGCACAATTGCAATATTTATAATTCTTTTGTATATTTGGAAAATATTTTCATTAAATGCTTTATATCATAAACTGTGCATATAAAACAACATCAACATCTAATAGGCAAAAAATTACAGTAACTCTTCATTTTACACCCATTTGTTATATTATATAGGTATACGATTTTTTCAACTCCTTGCAATAGCTTCTGGTGAAAATTATGAGTTTACTTTAGAGAAAATTCAGTGATGCTTGTGAATGTTGAACATTAATCATCTTCATAATTAAGAATGTATTTGTTAATATTCTGCAAAATTTAAATGAAGTACACTAAGTGAAAGGATCGGGTTTCCATTTGGAAAACCTTCCACCAAAATCAGATGTGCTTGGAATATTGGAAGACAGCATATATTATATCCTRGCTCAAATACTCTATTTAATAATGTGCATGTGTCCCTGCACATGGGAGAGTCACAGCTGATACTCATGTTTTGGCTCATTCTCTTTGGAGATTTTCAGGAAAGTAACTGATTTGACTCAGAGACAGTCACTGYTTTCCCCCTCTCTGTGTCTTAGCCTCGGAGCAAATAATGTGTACAGAGTCAGATCCTCCATTTGGAATTTAAACCTGTTCAAAATGCTGCTCAATCTCATGCACTGAAAAGGAGCTTTTCCCCCTAGACCTGAGCTCATCCTCATCCAAGTGTCATTAAAACTGCAGTATTTAACCATCCTCAGCATTGTTTACAGGACTTGGCCTGTTTTGTTTCTTGCTGAGAAAATTGATGATGGCCAGGTTTTTAGCAGTGGATGCAGCCTGCAGTCTCCTCCTTGCAGCATGTACCGAGCAGAAGCAAATTGCTTTGTTTGGCGTTTGCTGCTCAGGGTGCAGTGTCTGTCTGGGCTGATTGTGGGCAGGGGAGGCTTGGTGAGGAAGAATCCTGTGTTTACACGCAGCTGCCATACCTTTGGTCTGAGGCAAGCCAAGGGCACCCCTCTGCTTGCTTGTCTTACAAGCAAATTGATTTTTAAAAGTTTTTAGCAAAAGTTTTTTGAAGCACCATCTCTGTCAGAAATCGTACCTTTCAATCCTCTGTTCCACTGCCCAGTTCAGTGGGAGAAGCTCCTTTCCCGTGGCTGGATTTCCTCACCTCCACCCTGTCAGGCCTGGGAGCAGGGTCAACCCAGTCAGAGTACAGCCCAGCCTGTCCAGCAGCAGCTGCTGATCTCTGACTGCTCCTTCTAGCTCAGACTCCTCCTGCTTTCCTCTCTGAGCRGGAACAAGGCTTGGTGTCTGCACCCCATTTCTGTCCTGCAGACCRCATACAGCCCACACAAATAAGAGAGATTAAAGCTTTCTTTACCTTAAATATATTTTATTAATCCCCTCTCCKGTCCCTTATTTTCTTCTCTTCCAGTTCATTTTCCTTCCATGCTCTGGTATGCTTTTTTGATCTTYCAGTTCTACATCTTCTTGCAGTGTACAGTGTGTAAAAATCAGGGCAAAAGTCAGGGAGATTTGGCAGATGTGACTTTCTGAGAATGTTAAGTCCCTGTGTCCGAGGGCCAGGCAGARCTCCTCAGGCAAGCTGATTTTCAGCAGACTCGGCATGGCTTAGGCAAAGCTCTGCTGGAGYAGCCTCTTTCCTTTGCCTGTCCTTCGAGCCAGGGTAGCAAAAGTAAAACGTTTTCATTACCACTGGAAAGCCAAACCCTGGATTAAATGCAGATGGATAATACAGGCGGCCCCCAAGGAGGGATCGAAAGGATTAAAACTGGCAAATGTCACTGCCAGGSTTTGTGTTGCACCACGACACCACCTCGGACACAGTGTCCTGCCAAAATCTCATTTCTGGCAAAAGCAAAGCCAACACCTCGGCAGAAGAAATGGTGCAGTGAGAAATGSCCTCTCGAGGGTCTGTGTGTGAGGGTGGGGCAGTGCTCTGGCCAGCAGTGACCACTGCTCACTGGGCTGGCAACCTGCAGGGACCAAACTCCTTCCGTTCCCCAAGGCAGCAAAGGGTCAACTGCCCCTGCCTGAAGGTGGATTTATGGCTGAGACTCTTC